AATCGTATAAGGATTTTAGGTGAGAATTAATTTCCTGACAAGTATATGCCACGAATTAATAAAATGTTTACTAATAAGCATCAAGGATAAAGAACGAAATTTTTATATCTGGAGAAATACAGACGTAATTTGGACGTAATCATAAATTGTAAACGAAACGAATACGTTTGTTTCAGAAGCTATTAATACGTTAAAAATTAAGTAAAAAATTGAGTTTAGCTACTAATATAATCGCTTAATTAATATCATACTAATTTTACACTAAGTAGCTCCCTAAGTAGCCATTTAATAACATTAATTGCTATAGACGATGCGAACGAAGTCCAACTATATATGACACTATTGACGATATAAAAGAAACGTAATACTCAAAGTGAGGTTCCCAAAGCGAATAAAACTGCATAAAGATAGCTTTTATATAACCATAGATGGAAGACAATTTCACAAAGATAGTTTTGTCGACCGCGTCTTACGTAATAAACCCCTTCGGCGACGCGCGGCGGTAATATTTCCTGCCTCACTGAGAAATGTTTTTGACATACTGACGTTTATGATACCGCTGGCTATCGTAAGGCAGGAGTTTATGCTTCTGTACTACAATATGCCACAGTTACTTTTAATTATTATTCACTAAATGAGTGTACTGTATCTCTTATTTATAAACATTACGTTTGTTAACTGCACTGTATTTTCAATTCGTATTCTTCACAAAAAGTTGCTGACAAGAAATTGATGTTTTGTTTGTTTAGTTTATTTTCCCCTGACCATAGCTAATATGTTGTTTAGTGCCAAAGCACTAGCTGTTGCCCGCGACTTCGTCCAGGCAATATTAAGAAAAAAGGAGCCTATAATATACCTATCCAAATCAGCTACCCTACGGTGAACATCCAGTTGAAATTGGCCCAGTCGTTTCGGAGGATATATCCTCCGACGACTATATATATATACCCGGAACAAACACGGCTTGCGGACAGACAGACACAAAAATTTTAAACGCGATTTTTATTATCAGCACTGCAAATCTTCCCGAAATCTGAAATCTTTCTTTTGACACAAACTGACACTCAAATTTTATTACATTATTACATGTATTTTTTTTTATTTGTTTTTTTTTTTACATTTGTTGGAAGTTTTCTAAGAAATTGATACGGTTTGTTTTTGACTAAGCAATTTCAAGTTGTTCATTTGAGTTTACTTACTGTTAATAAACTGCCAAATGTTTTGCCGGGCAAACTTAAATTACTTTCCAGGAAAGAACGAATTGTTTTGGTAATTGTACTACCATATAAATACACTTGCGGACAAAAGTTTAATATTATAAGTAGGTCAAATATTTTTATGTTATTTTTTGGTTGAATAATCATGTCATGTCATATCCATATTCATATAAATATTATAAATGCGAAAGTTACGATGGATGGATGGATGTTAATAAGCGTTTGTAGCCTAACCGGCTGAACGAATCTCCATGAAATTTGGCACAGGTTTAGAGTATAGTCGAGAAGAACACATAGACTATTTATCCCGGGAATAGTTACGGTTCCCGTGGGATTCATTAATTTAGTTTTTTAATGTTTACTTGATCATTCTGCAACGATTAAACATATCTTATTGAAATTTGGCACAGATATAAAACAAAGTCTGGAGTACATATAGGATAAGGTTCATCCCCGAGAAATGTCCGGTTCTTGACGGATACGTAGCTTTTTGATATTTATATAATTTGTATGTTTTGTAATACCACGCGGACGAAGTTGCGGGCAAAAGCTAGTAGTAGTTATAAATTAAAAAAAGTATATTTAAATGTAATTAAACTTGTCTCACTCAGCAAATTACGGAGTTATTACTAATGTACTAATTGCTCATTAGGATAAGCCAAGTTTAAATTACTTTCTAACAAATTAACTTCTACAAGGTTTGTAATTTATTTCATATTAATATGCTTACGATATATTTCGATATTTAAATCAACTAATGCTTTGACAGTTCTGTATATCCCATTGTAAATGCGAGACAAATTTAATTCCGTGACTCTAATTACTCAATTTTTTTATAATAGAAGGTGGCAAACGAGTAAGTGGCTATCTAAATCCGCCGTAATGGCGAAGCGACAGGTGTCCAAAGACATCCGCAATTGAAAATACCTCGCCTACCCTTAATGGAAGAGGAGACGCACATTAACATGATGTTTCCCCTACCTATGCGTTTCCTCTGCTATCAAATCCACTTTTCCTTCCCTCCCTTTCCTCTTAATAAACGGATGGAAAGGAATAGGGACTAAAATCAATTCTGAAAATCATTCCTTTAAATACCTTTTATCTTTTAAACTTCACTAAACTGAGACATTACTAAAAATTGTTTTAAAACTGAAATTTAATACAACCGAGAACGAAACACGAGAATTGACTCCACACCTTTTGTTATACGAACAATGGAAAATGTCAACGAAATGAATACACAAAGGGAACTAGTAAACAAAGTAAATTTAGAGACAAAAGGTCGAAATCGCTCGCTCCCGATTCAACTAGCCCTGCTATGGTAGAAACAGAAAAGTTTATTTTGATAACTAATAGAGAAGACAACAGAAGTTACCAGACAGCAAAATAAAAACCACATTTAAAACCAAAGATTATTCAATTATGTAGGGTACCACTTTAAAATGTCTACCACAATAATGAAGATGGAACTCTGTGCATTTTAAGTGTGATTATAATAAAAAATAAATAAAACTCAAACACTGTTTACTGATCAAAAAAAAATTACAAAACATATTAATGAAATAAAAAAAAAAACAATTCTTGACCCAAAGGAGAATGCTCAGCTGTTGCGGCCTCCAGCTTAGCACTTAAGGCCTAGCTAATTTTTAGTCTTCAGGTTATTACTTCTTCCATCACTTTCTAAATAATATAATCAACAGTAACTTCTTTCTATAGACTGTTAATAATATATACTCGGCAGGCATAACTAAAATTAAATTATGGCTAGTAACATCTTTCTCTGTAATTTCGTATGTCCTTTATATATTTTTCGACAACATTTCTCGGGGTTAATCATTTCACACAATCCATTCGTCTTTTCTTAAACCTGTTCATTTTAAAATACTCTACTCCAATCTTATTATATTCTTGACAAATACATTCTTCCTTTCATAAAATACAAGAGTTTTTATAAAACAAGGAAACGGCCACTTGAATTTGCCGTAATAGCGAAGCAACTGCTGCTCTAACATCTTTGCGATTGTAGTTACGTTGCCTACGTTTAGTAGACGGAGGATGTAGAGATGATTTTTCTCCTCTTCCATCCTTTTCTTAAATATACAGAATTTAATACAACAAAAATCTATGGATGTTTTTAGGTACAAGTACCCTACCAAATATTTGATCCGCAAGGCAATTTGTCGCTTTAATCTCGAAACAAAAAGATAAGAAGTTCCCCTGTATCGCTGTCTCAATGACAAGGGTCACATTGGAACGTCGAAGCAGAAACGAATCACAACGATTTATTTAATAAAGACCAATATTAATAAGGGTAAGAATTGATTTGGACATCTCATTGCAATAAAGCGACCAAATCTCATTCCAATCAATTCTTATTCCAACTTTAACGTGTTAATGATTCTGAAAGTTCATTTATATTAGTTTAAATCCTCACCACTGCTACCAACTGCAACCAACAGCGCCAGAATGGCTTAATGCAAACAGACACAAAATACCACACCTTCTATAAATTTAGTCTTTCCATGAAGTTAATATCTGAGTCCTCCATTAACGAGGTTCAGGATAAGCGCCATCTTTGCTCGGCCACCTCAATCCCGATGAATGCCTCTACAAGGCAAACAGTGGCAACTCAGTCACAAAAAAAAGGTAAAAAAAAATTAGTCCTCCAAGAGATAAAAAGCCTCTACCATTCGTCTTAATGTGTCCCGCATTTTGCATTTTCTGTGTGTCTCTAATGTAGGTTTGTGGATTTTCACTGTTGCTAAACATTTACAAAACATATGACATACCAGTTCCAAGGTTCTAAAACACATTTATAAACGTATTTGAATCAGTTACAAATATTAACACACCCTGAGATTTGTCTTAGAAATGAATCATTTTTATTAGATTTTCTATCGGGTCGTAGAAACCCTTGTCGCAATCTGTTAGCCAGCAATATATTTCGCCTTTCGTCTTTTTGTCTGGTTTAGCATGGTATGGTCATGTTATGTAGAGATATGAATTGTATGTAACGTGGAGGACGTAAGTTTGATAATGGAGGTTCACTGGTAGAAAGAGAAAGAAAGAGATCCATCTAGGTTTAATGATTTTTTTTATATGAGAAGGGGGCAAACGAGCGGCGGGAACACAAAGATGGTCAACGACAACCATGGACATCCGCAACACCAGAGGAACTACAGATGCGTTGCCGGCCTTTGAAAAAATTGTAGGCTCGCTTCTTGAAGGACCCTAAGTCGTATTGGTTTGCGAATACCGCTGAGGACAGACCGTTCCACAACCCGGCTGTGCGGGGCAGAAAGTTCCGCGAGAACCGCACGGTCGTGGAATGCCAGCCATCATGGTGAGGATGGTACCTGGTGGTCTCTGTACCATGTCGTCCGATGACGAAACTCGGCGGCAGGAATCGTTCCAAACAACTCCTCGGAACAGTCCCCGTGGTAAATACGGTAAAAAATGCAGAGGGAACTAACGTCCCTCCGCAAGGCCAGAGGATCTAGCCGATTGGTAAGAACTCGTAAGTATTACCAAAAAGGATGTGATGACTGAGATGTTAGATAGAATTTGAGGACGAAAACCTAGTGCGCCGACCCTACGGGAGTGGGATAAGGTAGGGGAGTTGTAGGGGAGATTATGATCTTTTTGACTGTCTATAAATTACTTAAGGAACGCTGCATTTATCGTAATAAATGCACGTTTTCTACTGTACGTTTCGACTGTCTTGAAACTTTTGACACATATAACTGTTTTATCTACCACGAACGAAAGGGAGAAGAAATAAAATTCAATTGTAGGTGCATATTTATTTTTGAGTTTGAAACTGTTAAACATTACATCTTCAGCACAGGAATGATGAAACACTGTAATAAAAAAAATATATTAAAGACATAATATATTGGATGTTCAAAATTAATTACAGAAATATAAAAAATGAAATACCTTACTAATTCTCGTCTATTTACCAAGCAGGAAATTTCTTATGTGTGATGTACTCAACTTTATTTTGTATACAAGGCCTGAAAATAGAATTTACATGTATTACATGTATTTATAAATCATGGAACAAAAATAAAATAACAGGACTAAATAAAAGATCTACATAAAAAAATGTATTGCAGGCTAGCCGCGCGGAGTTAGCAATCGTGGCTAGTGTCTAGCCGCGCGCAGTTAGCAGTCGTGGCTAGTGGCTAGACGCGGTTGGTCGCTTAATTTAAAAAGCAATAATATCTAATTGTCATAATAATCATAAGTTAACGTACAGCTGATGAAATAAGTTGAATAATCCTATAGGGCATCCCAACGCTGTGGCACCTGAAGTGAAAGTACATGAAATTTGTAGATAAATTTGTGATCTTTAAATTATATACAACGAAGATATGAGAAGTGCAATAAAATATGAATAGTAAAGCAGAAATGCACAATGCAGTAAAAAGACCAGCAGCTGGTTCATCTACTGGCGCAAGGCAAGCATACCAATCAATTCTCGAGATCGTATGAGACGGGACTTATCACAGTGTCAAGCTTCCAATCCATCGATCCTTCATAAACTTCTATGACCATAGATATCATAAAATCACACATAGTACTTGCACTTGCTAATAATTGTATAGAATTAAGAACTACTGGCGTGTGTATTCCTGCCCTGACATTTTAAAAATAATGATAATTTAGAAAACTAAGCAACATTGAAATTCCAGGAAAGCATATTCTTCTGAGGTAATTTGATATCTCATTCTACAATTTTGAATTTCGGTATTTAACTCATTTAGGTCAAGCAGTTCAACAGATGGAACAATCCAATCCAGTGATGAAAAAACAATCATGTTTGTGTGGAGTATCTCTTTCAATATCGCTAGCATATTTTCAAGATGAAAAAGTGTTGAGATTGAATGTGGATGGCTACAAAGGAAGAGGAAGACCGAAGAAAGTATGGATGGATTGTGTGAAGGAAGATATGCTTAAGAAAGGAGTGGATTCAGATATGACGGCTGATAGAGATGTATGGAAGAGCAGCACATACTGTGCCGACCCTCCATAAGGGATAAGGGCAAGTGGATGATGATTTTCAAGATGAAACAGCCCTCTTGATAATTTACATAATTTTCATGTACTTTCCCTACAGGTGTGTATTTGATGCCTAAATTAAATGTTAACCAAATCATAACTTTAAGGTAACAAATAATTTGTTGAATGACCTCGGCCGTGGGAATTGTCTGTCAACATGTGTTGCCTATGAACTAAAATTGTGAACTACATCTTACTTAGCTACATAGAAGTAACCAATTTACAAGTAAACAATAAAATATTTTTATCTCCTCACTTTATATTGCGACCGCGTTTTTCGGATGCTAATTCCTTTTTTCGTCTAAAGTTGGTAAAAGCTTTTTTCCTGAAAGACAACGTGACATAAGAAGTATACAAAAAAATAATTATTAAAATCAAGAAACTCACTTTTTAGGGTAATGCATAATGACTCCTTTTGGTGTTATTTTTTGCTTGCACGGTCTCATGTTACCACAAACACAGCCCTTCAATAGCTTACGAGACGTAGCTGAAAACGTTTGAACTGGCGATATCCTGGAAATCAAAGTTAATTTTATACTACAGAAGAAAAAGGATCGACTCTACGGAAGTAGGATAAGGTAAGGATGAAGATTATTATACTATAGAAGAAGACGAAAGATGAAACGCACAGAAGATGGAAAAAAACTCTTTCTGAGCTTACTTTGCACCGTAAATGAGTAGGCAACACATCTGAAATTGCGGATATCTATAGGCAACAGTTACTTCACGTTGGCAAATCAGGTGGCCGCTTCCTTGTTTGTCACATTAAGATATACAAAAAATATGTAAAAATAATAGAACTAAAGAAGAATCGCCAAAGGAACTTTATCTTAGAAGACAAAATTTGTCGGTCTTAGATTTTTTTTGGTAAAATTTACGTTTATGATGTAAGACATTAGTGAAATAGTTAATTCAGATTTTAGAAATGCTTCGAGTATTCGATTATTGTTATTTTGTGTTTTAAACTTTAAATTCTTAATAGCTTGTACTTTATTTCTTAGATTACTTTTTATTTATAAAGGATTATCGTTGTTTACTTACTTTCTTTTCCAAAAAGGATTCCATTTTGGCTTATCAGCGTTAAGTATATAGCGTAAATTAGATAAACTGTAAAATAGATATAGATTTAGAGTTACTATGACGTTCTCAGAAATAATCAAGAAGTCATTACGTCATTCTATTTCGGTTTTAACAATAACATTACATTAAATATAAATATACATATGCAAGTTAATTTCTGGAATGAAATGGGGACCATTGCAAACCAATAAAACGCTTAAGATGTCATCCACAAGAATTTAAGTGTGAGGTTTTTTAATACTCACACTAACATTACGAAAAGGAAAGATTTGTATTATTGTACGAAAAGAGTGAAGTCAAAAATTACTTGACTGGGTTTAAAATATTTCTGGCATTAGAAGCTACAGTCAATGGGAGAATAGATTATATTTTTAATAGTTTTTTAAACTCCGCACATATGTCTTAGACTAACGAAAAGCTAGTTGTAGAATCAAGAAGAAAGAAAGCATACCTTGAATTACTAGTAGACTCGTCAATTTTTCTTTTCAGACAAGCTGCCTTGCTATGCAAGAGACCCATTTGTTTCCACTAAGACTAGTAAAACATTGGTCCCGCATTTATCACTCAACATTTGATACCAAAATACACCATTTAATTAGTATCAAACATTATTATTTCGTTTGTAATTTTTACCTTGAATGCATACTTGATAGATTTTTTTTGACGTTTCCTCTTTGTCAGTCCTCTTGATTAAGACTTACGTCAAAGATTTAGTTTTAATTTTCATCAAGTAGTTCTTACATTTTTGACATCTTTAACATCTTTGATGATGTTGACTTTTATGACAGGACCTGTCAAATGTGCAACTCCCTCTGTCGAGTGAAACAAAGAATACAATACGAACTTGGTTATATGATATTTTTGTGTACAATTTTTGTTCACTGTTAGTTTATTAATTTTTCAATTGTTACTTACCACAGCACATTTGATAAGTTATGAATTCGGCATAGTCCGTTCGTCTATAATCAAAGGTTTTGATTTATTTAGAAAAAAAAACTTTAGAAGTAAGTCATAGTTTATCAAATACAAATATTTTATTGGTAATAGTCAATTACAGGTAATTATGTTAAAAAATTACTGATATTCTGAACGAAAATTGTATACCTAAAGCAACAGTTATAGCAGAAAATATTCCACGACACTGTGGAGGGCGACACTATACAGTTGTGTTTTATCATGTTTGTGTTATCAAATACTATTTTTTGACCGACTTCCCAAAACAAGGAGGTACTCAATTCGTCGATATGTTTTTTTTTATTTTTTTATGTGTGTTACGGCATAACTCCGCCGCTAGTGGACCGATTTTGATAATTCTTTTTTTATCCGAAAGGTAATGCTTGCAGGTGGGTCCCATTTTTTTGTTTGATTTTTTAGCAATTTAGAAGTTGGTTTTAATAGAACTTTATTCCCTTGATAAGACGTTAGTTAAGTTTGCAACGATTTCTGATCAAAATAAAATTGTATTTACATTTCCAATGTAGTTTTTATACGACTATAGTTCATATAATAATATAGAAAAAGGTTGCCAAACCACTAACTTATATAAAAGGAAGCTCATTTGTTCTAAACAAGCATGTTTATAGTTTCTATTCGCCCCCTGAACTGAGTGGACCATCCTAAACAAACAAGCGTTCCTTTTGAAACATGCAAAAAGTTTCTGCAAAACTCACATAGGGGAAGAACCGCTTTTCCACTAAACATTTATAGTTTAGTTGATCATTTTGCTAGCAATCATTTACAGAGAATATAACACATATTAAAAAACAATTAAGCCGTAATACTTTAACAGTGGTAGAGTCCGCTTTGACATCTTCGCACAAATGGGTCGGCTCGCCAGGTGTAATACCACGAACACACAGAAAACAGGCGTGAAGTGGAAGCAATTCCTCGTTTTGTCTAATGCGTGTGGTGCCCAGCACTAATTTTAGCCCCTTTCCCTTCTCTTAATAGGAAAGGATGAGAAGAAAAAGTAGATCTGACGGTGGAGGAGACGCATATAGAGGGAAAATGTCCTCTTTATGTGCGTCTCTTCCTCCTGCCTCCTGTAATTGCGGATGTTTATGGGCAGCGGTCGCTTTCCATTCCTGTGGATTCAGGTGACCGCTTGCTTATTTGCCTTACTTAGCTTAGTAGCTTAACTTGCATGACAGTTACTGACACGTGATAGTAGCTGACATGCCGGGTACTATCCCATTATATTGGCAGGTGTCTTGAATTTATTAGATTTATGTTATAAAGATTGCCTTTCATGTCAGTGGCAGTTTAACGTTGAAATAGAATATACACTTTCCATACTTCAATGTTCGCCTTGGTGGCGATGTGACGTCACCAACGAGTATGATTGATACGCCGCCTAAATGCCACCTTTGCGTGTGGTCCAAGTTACAAGAATATCACGTGAAAAAATATTTTTATTTACATCTGTTTCCAGTCTCGTTAATTTTCTCAGTACTTGTAAATTGTATATTATTTTTTTCATTATTTCAATGTAATTTTGCATGCAATTCTGTATTAATGTTTAAAAGGTGCGACGCCTACAAACCACGTAAGTGGTTTGACGGGAATGACTTATGTGACCATATAAATAATATATATAATATTTTGGAAACAAGGCAAAAAAAGTGATTAAAACATATCTTTTACTGATAGTTAGCGTATAGTAATATTTTAAATCTATAAAACTTATTTCCTCATAAAGCCGTTTTGTGGAAAACTCTATCCTTAGCGGTATTTCCACAGGGTTACAACTTGGGACCTTTAAAAAAGAGCTTGATCCTTCCTTAAATGCTGACAACTCATCTATCGGCGTTGTAATATCAATACGCAGTCCTCTGCTTGTTTGCTTCTATACTAGTAAAGTATATTATTAGTTTATTCGTAAAAAGCAATATAACCACGGATACTTAGCGCAGTTAATACATATTTTAGTTTTCCATAGTCCAGTAATTATGTGGTTCCTACTTAATTTAATAAAAAGTAATGGATAATACAACACAACAGTCGTCTAGTTCCACCTAACTATTGACAGTATTCCTTAATATATCTTGATAATATTACATAGTCAATCCATCACTGGGTCCTTGGAAAACCTTGTGGTCCAAGTTATAAGAAAAAGCGGAATCAATATTCAGTCGCACTAAAAAGCTAAAAACTAAGTGTGTGTATTGTTGTTTATAAGCATTTATTCACTAATCTACACTAAGAATTTCCCTTAGTAAGTACTTAGCTGTGGCATCAAGAGTGGAACTTGTCATAATTATATATAAACTTCGAAAAAAGTCACTTTAATAAATAGAAGAGTATTTAATACCTAAAAGATTGTTACTATTTTTGTTACTATAAGATTATTACTAGCTTTCGACCGTGACTCCGTCCGCGTGGAATTAAGAAAAAAAAGTGAGCAGCCTATGTGTTCTTCCATACTGTCATCTACGTCTAAGTCAAATTTCATGGAGATACGTTCAGTCATTTAGGCTACAAACTCTTACAAACATCCATCCATCCATCTAAACTTTCACATTTATAATATTAGTAAGATGACAATTAGATTTTTGAATAGAAGTAAGAATAAATAAAAGCAAATCCAAGTAAATTTTTCTCTTGATATTTTAATTCAGAAAATGTTTTTTTTCAGCACAAGTTTTACGAATGACATATGCAATTAACTACCATTGCAGTGTTTACAAGCCGAATAAAACTCTCTGAGAGTGACTTAATGTTTATTTATCGACGTTCGGTCCGCGTATTGTGTTAATTATGTGATTTTAATGTTCTGCTCCGACCGAAAATGTTCGTTTAAAAATATTCACGCTATTGTTGGTGTAGAACCGTCTAGAGATAATTGATATTTTTTAAGGCTTGTGCATTTATTTGACAACGCTAAGTTTCCATGGCGATCATTATTATGCTTTAAAAAATAAGGATAGAATTATAATCTACTAGTTTTCGCCCGCGACTCCGTCCTTGTGGAATTAAAAGAAATATAAACGACTAGTCTATGTATTTTTCCAGACTATCTTTTTCAAATTTCGTCGAGATTTGTTCAGCAGTTTAGACTACAAACTCTAACAAACATCCATCAATTTAAACTTTCGCATTTATATTATATGCAAGCTTTTTTATCCAACTATGGTAGAGCCCGCTTTAACATCTTCGTACGAATGGGTCGGCTCCTCCGATGGTATACCACGACCACACAGAAGACACACGTGATCTGGGAGCAATCCTGCGTTTCGTCTGATAAATGTGGTGCCGGGGGGGTGATTTTAGTCCCTTTTCCTTTCCACCCTTTTCTTAAGATGCGAGGATAGGAAGGACAGTGGACTTGACGGTGGGGAATACGCATAGGAAGGGGAAATATCCTGTTTCTGTGCGTCTCTTCTTCCGTCGATTAAGGGTAGGCAACGCATCAGCCATTGCGGATGTCTATAGGCAGCGGTCGCTTTGCCATTTCGGCAAATTCAGGTGGTCGCTTGCTTGTTTGCCAACTTTTAATATTAAAAAACTGTACTGGGCAAGTGTAAACTATGCATACTTGATATAACTATGTGAGAGCACATGACTTCTAAACTGGCATTCCGCCAGATGCTGGCTAATGTAAAAATAGGAATAATAGATTCTGATGTTCGTGCACTGGACAAGTGCTCGGTCGTCGAGTAATTGCAGTCATTTGCTATTCGACTCTGCTAAGAAAGTTTTTGCAAACAAGAATGGGAAATAATGTTGGGAACTGAAGAGGGTATTACTACTATCACAAGCATACTGTAATCATTTATTTGTCATAAAGTGACAAATAACTGATTATGAGATATCGTCACATAAGAATACAGTAAGATGACATAAACAAGAAAATATCAGGATTGAAAGTTGATGTAGCTATCAATAGAAGTAGAAGACCTAAGCATATTTCGACGTTTAAAAAGTTTAAAAACCAACTTTCGAGCACATCATTATTTCCATTTGATGGGATCGTGCTGAAGCGATAGCTTAACAAACATAAAAAAGTATAGAGATGTACATACTCTGCCGTCCCTCTGTAGGGACAAGGGGTTGACGATGATGATACATAGAGATATAATTGGTTTCCAATTATTAGATAACTAATGTATCATTTTAAATTCTATTTATATTGTAAATGCGAAAGTTTGCATGGATTTTTGTAATTGAAACGGATCGCGTGAATTAAACAATAAAAAATTTGAGTGGCCTATGTGTTCTTCCAGACTATCCTCTACATCCGTACCAAATTCCATCGAAATACATTCAGCCGTTTAGGCTACAAACTCTAACAAACATTCATCCATCTAAACTTTCGCATTTATAATATGAGTATGATCTGGAAAACACATAGGCTACTCAATTTTTTTATGCGAATGGAGTCGCGCGCAATAGCTAGTAAACCACATTTCAATCATATCTCAATAACTAATAAAGAAATTGTCCAGCGCATGAACATTGGAATCCATTACTTCGCTTTTTACCGGTGCCATGCATTTGGCGAGGAGCCAATTTTAAAGTCGTATTTTCAAAAGTTAGTGCCATTAGAACTTAGTATTACCACAATATATCACAGCTAAAATAGTAGGAATCTGACTTTACAGTTGTTGAAAATATTTATCATACTAGTAGAGAAAGTTTTCCAACTATAAATTAGACATATATTAATACTAGATTTCATCCGCGACTCTGTCCGCGTGGAA